GGGGGGGGGGGGTGCTGGTCTGTGCTGCTGGGTGTGGACAGGAGAGCCACAGACAGGCTCATACCCATCTCTTCCCCTCACCAGAAATGGACCAGGTGGAGATTTCTTCCTGCACAGTGGATCGGAACACCGTGTGTGGCTGCAGGAAGAACCAGTACCAGGAATCTTTGAGCAACACTGTGCACACTCTTTTCCAGTGCCGGAACTGCAGCCCCTGCCTCAATGGCTCAGTGCAGATCCCCTGTGAGCATGGCCCTCTTTACCCAGCCCCATCCTCAGTGCAGGGGTGGGCCCTGTCTCAGGGGGAGGGTCTCCACCTTTCTGCACTGCTGCCCCAAGAGGCAGCACTTTCTATCCTTCCCACTCCTGCAGCCTGTGGTAACACTTCCACTCTGGCCATCTATCCCAGTCCCTCCTGGCTCTCCCTCTACTCCTCAGGGTGCGGGGAGTCCTCCTTTAGCTGTGCTGCCCCTCTCCCCACAGGCAGCGAGAAGCAGAACACCGTGTGCATCTGCCACGCAGGGTTCTTTCTAAAAGACAACAAGTGCATACCCTGCGCTAAGTGAGTATCTCTGTCAGCTGTGGGCACTGGGTCAGGGGACTTGGGTTGGGATGGGGTGGCTGCGGTGAGAGCCACCAGCAGGACAAGGGAGACACCCCTGGGTGCTCTGGCTCCTATTGGTTGTTTCAGTAGGAGACAATTCATGTCAATACACCAGATAGCCCTTCTTCTTTCCCCCAACTTATTCATCAAGTCTTAAGAAGTCTTTGGGGATAGAGGTCAGACACCAGGGACTTGTAGTTCTTAGACATTCGGATTCTTTTTTTTGACATTGAAATTCTTGGGTGACAGGGTCTACTATTGATTCACATCCCTGAAATCAGACTGCATGTTACAAAAATTGATGTTTAATTGGCAGCTCTGTGTGACTGTGTGCTGTGCAGATAGTGGTGCCTCTTATTATTGGTGGTATCTTAGATTTGATGCAATATGGCATTTCCTCCCCAGTCTCTTTGACTAGCCCTCCTCACTACTGGCTCCACAGAGGCTGTTCGTACATACTCGCTTGCAAAGAAGAAACTCTGAGGGCTCTAAAGTTGAACTGACCTGTTTTTAAATCTCAACCTAGCCATTTATTGGCTGTGCAACTTAGGGCAAGTGATTTAATGTGTCTGAGCCTTAGTTTTCTTACCTTTTAAGTAAGGGTAATGACATCCACTTGGTGAAGTTGTAAAAACCACAAAATATAGCTACAAAGTGTCTGACAAGAAACTATTTTCTTTGTCCCGCTAAGTTTTGTCTTTTGAAAGAGCTTTTATACCCATCCCACGTATTTCTCTCATGAGCTTGTGAGGTGGGCAGAAGGGCCTCTTTCTGCTTTCAGATTCCTGCTGAGAACTCACCTTCTCAAGGTCCTTCTAGGCAGCCCATGTGCATGTGGTTCTCATCACTCCACGCTGCCCAGTGACAGCTCCCAACATGGGAAGACGTGTGTGTTCTAGAGTGCTCTCTGGTGCCACCCAGTAATATGTATTTTTAAATTTTTCACTTGCACGTTTGACCCCTCTTTCAAAGTCAGGTGTTGTCAATAGCAGTGTTATCTTGAGAAAAAGCTCTTTAACCTCTTTTTGACACAGGATTCTCTTTAGAAGAACAATGATAAAATAACAATTCAATGACAGCTACTTACTGTATGTTGAGCACTTACTATATGTCAGGCAGAATTCTCTCACTCAATCCTGACAGGTGGGTAGGATCCCTGTTTTCCTGATGAAGAAACTGAGGCATACAGGTTAAATGACTTGCTTAGAGTCACACTGCTAGCCAATGACTTGGCTGAAATTTAAACCCTGACACTGACTGCTTTTAAGTTTGTTTGTTTTTTTTTAAATACAGCCTCTTCAAGATCAATTCCAGTTCTAAATGAAATGATTTTGTGATTAATTTGTTTCACTCCTTTGCATCAATTCCCAAGATAGTTTTAATTTCCACTATATATCAAGAGGTAGCTAAAATACTTGTAAAGCAGAGAATTTCCAACAATGTGTTTTTTTTCTTTTTCTTAAACCTGTATTCCTCCTATGGTAGGACCCCTACTCACCCTGAAATTTCTCCTTTTAGCTGTGAGAAGAAACACGCAGAGTGCGCAAAGTTGTGCCTACCCACAACTGAACATGTCAAGGTCCCTCAGGACCCAGGTGAGGAGAAATAACCTGGTGCCCATGCTCACCTGCCCTCTCCTAACCTTCCTCCTGCACCCTCCCCTCCAGCCCTGCTTCCTCCTGCAGCCCTCCTCTGATCAGTCTGTTTTGTCTCCAGGCACTGAAGTGCTGTTGCCTCTGGTGATCCTCTTTGGTCTCTGCCTTTTATCCTTCCTCTTCATGGGTTTAATATGCCAGTTCCAACGATGGAAGCCCAAGCTCCACTCCATTGGTGAGTGGGGCCTCTGGGAGGGGAAAGGTTACCATTGGGGATGTGGGAGGAGGCTGGGTGGTAAGATGCACCAGCATGGAGGGAAATGAGCATCCCCTTAGTTTGCTGAGGAAAGCTCTCTTGGCAGGAGATGGCCCTGGAAAGAGGTCATACTGCATCAGTAGTTCTCTCGTCCCTGGGACCACATAGGCCCTGAAGCATGTCACCACAAGTCCCCAGGGCAGTCCCGGTATGGGCGGTTTGGGCTCCAGGGTTGAGAGAGGAAGTGAAATTTGTGACACTTCGTTTCTTTTTTTCTCAGTCTGTGGGAAATCGACACCTGTAAAAGAGGTAAGACGAAACTAGGGACCTACCTCCACTCATCCCTGACTGTCCATTGTAGTCTTGTAAGAACCAAATCAAGTATTGCCACCCGTGACCCTCAGGATCTCCTAACTCCCTTTAGTTCCATCCCTATCAGAATAAAGAGGGCTGGGCTGTTTTTACTCTCCCCACTAATGCTGGGCCTTGTCTCTTTCAGGCGGTGACTGAGCAGCGGGCCTCGGCCCCAGGCTACAACTTCAGTCCCATCCCCAACTCCACCCCAAGTCTCACCATTATCCCCAGTGAGTGGTCCAACTTCAAAGCTGCATCACCACCCGGAGAGATGGCCTCATCCCACCAGGGGGCTGGCCCTCTCCTCACAGCAGCTCCAGCCTCCACCCCCATGCCCACCCTTCTCCAGAAGAGGGAAGACAGCACCCACACGCAGCGCCCAGATGGTGAGCACCCCAGGAATCCTGGCTAGGGCTGTAGGCGGGCGGGGCTCCAAGAGGGCACGTGCACGAGCAGGGACCCGGCCAGGGCGGGCCTGGGAGCTGCAGCGCCAGGCTCACCACCCGCCCCGCCTCCCTGCAGCGGACCCGGCGCTGCTGTATGCGGTGGTGGACTGCGTGCCCCCCTCGCGCTGGAAGGAGTTCATGCGGCGCCTGGGGCTGAGCGAGCACGAGATCGAACGGCTGGAGCTGCAGAACGGCCGCTGCCTGCGCGAGGCGCACTACAGCATGCTGGCCGCCTGGCGGCAGCGCACGCCCCGGCGGGACGCCACGCTCGAGCCGCTGCGCCGCGTGCTCCAGGACATGGACCTGCGCGGCTGCCTGGAGGACATCGAGGCGGCCCTGTGCGGCCCCGCCCCCCTCTCGCCGCAGCCCCACCTTCCCCGATGAGGCCACGCCTCCTGGGAGGGGCCTGCCCTGAGGACGGATGTTTCCTGCCCCCGGGCCTGTGGAGGGCCTTGCGAGATGCCCTCGGGACCTCCCTTTTTTCTGGAGAGGAAGGGTCTTGGAGGGGCAGGCATGAGCTGGCAGCCACTTACTTGGTGCTACTCTCTCAGTGTACATAGCTTTCTCAGCTGTTTGAGCACTGCCGGAGGGTCAGCTCTGTGTGTGTGTGTGTGTGTGTGTGTGTGTGTGTGTGTGTGTGTGTGTGTGTGAGAGAGACGGCAGGGGGGAGGGGAATGTAGACAGATAGATGTGTGTGTGGGTGAGGGGCTGAGTGCGCCTGGAGCCCCAGCGGGTGGTTGTGGGGATGAGGGGCGCCGCGTCTCATTGCCTGTTTTGGGCTGAGCCTTTTTCACAGCACATAAGCAGTCTTTGTATCAATCATGTTATACTAATAGAAACGTGGCACCCCTTTGTTCCCTGCCTGGACAAGCACAGAGTAAGCTGAACTGTCCCCAGGCAGGGACAAGCACACAACAATGGGGCCTCCAGCTAGAGCTGTGGACTTTTGTAAATACACTAAAACTGGAGAATTAAAGCTCTGTTCTTGGAGGGAGTGGTCTTTGTGAGTGGGGCTGGCAGCCTGGGACAGAGACCTGGATCCTGATGGGTGGGATGGTGAGAAGTCCTGAGCTTGGGCCACATACCCCACCACCATCGTGCCAACTGCCAGAAGAGTAGCTTGTGCTCACTGTCACCCCGTTCGGGTTCTTCCCACCCTCATCGAGCGCTGACCGGGCAGGCATTTTTATGCGCAACTTTATGGGGGGCTCGGGTGTCTATGGTACACACTGTACAGCTCTCGATCCCAAGTTCTTAGAGCAGGAAGCACAGGGAATCCTGGGCCAGGCTTCTTCATGGGCAGCGTGGACCACGAGGTGGAGTCCTGGGCTGGGGTGGTGACCAGCACTCTTGGGGAGAGATTTCCTCAGGTAGCAATGCCAGAGGCCTGAGCGTTCCTCACGCCTCTCTGAAAGGAAAGGAGGTGGGGTTAGGTGAAGGCAGACACGGCCCCTGCGCTGGCACTGCCCTTTTACACTGACCCCCTCCCCACCAGCCTCCTACTCTGACACCCCCTCCCACTCCGCCCTGGCCTTCCCCTCTGCCCCCTCAGCACTTACGATGTGGACAGGGGGGTGTCCAGCCGTACGATGTGGGGCACGCGCATCCTCTGCAGTTGGACCCGAGTCAGCTTCTGAGGCCTGCCTTCCCCAGGCTCAGGGATGCCCTCAATCCTTTGGCTGGCCAGATCCTCCCGGATCTCTCTGAGCATGTCCGCAGCACTGAGGGGGCCAAGGGAGAGGGGCTGCTCCTCTTCCTCCTCCTCCGAGGATGCCCAGGGGCTTTCCCCAGCAGAGTCAGCGTGGGCCGGGGAGTGTGGCAGCTGCCCCCGAAGCTGTGCCCTATGCAAGGTTTCCACTACCAGGTTCCCTCCCCCAGAGGTTCCATCTTCTTCTTCAGACCAGGTTGGTCGCTCTCCCCTGGGAAGACTGCCTCCTCTTCGGATAGCTTCCCCTGGCAGTTCAGGGGTGCTTCGGCGTTGGGGAGCTTGGGGGTCAGGAGGCTGGGGGCGCAAAGTAACATCCCGAAGGTCCAGGGCGGAGACGGTGAGGCCGGGGTGCCGCCGAAGAGCCCACGGGTGTAGATGGCTCAGTGGGGAGTGGGGCCTCTTGGGGGAGACTGGGATCAGAGTGCTGTAGCCAGAGTCTGAGGTGTCATCTGGTACCGAGGGAGTGTCTTCATCTGTGTCTTCTGTCACCACCAGATGGGGGATGACAGTGCTGAACTCAGAAGTCCTACAAATTAATGAATGGTTAGAGTCAGATGCTAAGGGGTCAAGTTCAAGTCCAGGAAGTATCCCTTGATCACTCCACTCAGAAATGGTCCCTCCTCCAAACTTAATTGGTATCGCCTTTACACTGTGCTGTTTTTATCATCTCTAGTTGGACTGTAAGCTCCTCTAAGACATTTTAGTCACAACACTTGGTCCAGGTCCTTATATCAAGTAAGTGCTCAGGAATTTTCTCCAGGGTTCCTGAGATCCCCTGAGGTTAGCCCTGTGATGGATCTTTTTTTCTCTCCTTAAATATGCTGCTGAATGGCTGTGTTTTTCAGGATGAACCTCTCATGCATGGGAATTTGGACTAAGCTGGTCCTTGCAACTCCAACATTATGCAAATCCCTACCAGTCTTCACTCTCCATTCCTAGCCCTGGGAGCCTGCTCCTCTCAGGGAGTTCATGCTCCTTGTGTCTGTTTCTTTCAGCCTGCGCCAACCCTAGGCTGGCTAACCTCCTAGGCTGTCTGTCCCAGGAGGCCCTTCTTACAGCTGGTGCCAACCTGTTCTCCAGCCTGTAGCCTGGGTTCTCATTCTCTTCCTAATCCCTCTGAGCGCTGTCATGTAATTTTTCAGCCTTGTGGTTCCTCGTCTCTCACTCCTTACCTGAGCCTCCTTACTGTGGGAAAGCCTGTGGTCCCTATGGGTCTTACCTCCCCTCCACGCTGCTCTGAGAGCCCTCTGGGGAAGGCGTGGAGGGCCTGGTGCCCAGAGACTCCTGGTCCTGGTCTCTGTAGAGGGCCAGGAGCTCCCTCTTCTGTTGGACATATTCCTCTGCCTTCAGCTTTTGCAGGGTGACCTGGGGTGGGGATAATTTCATTAAGATCCTCTATTATTGTTGGTTAGAGTGTTGTCTTGATATGCCAAGGTTATAGGTTCGATCCCCCATCAGGGCACATATAAGAATCAACTAATGAATGCATAAATAAGTGGAACAATAAATCGATGTTTCCCTCCCTTCCTCTCTCTCTAAAATTAATTTTTAAAAAAGATTTAAAAATCTGAAAAAAAAGAAAAAGATCCTCAATTATTGAGCATTTGTTGTATGCCAGGCACTGGGCTAGGTGCTTTACATACATTATTTCCTTTAATCTTCACAACAACCCAATGAGGCAGATATTGTTTCTTATTCCTAATTTGATACTGAGAAATGGAGACTGAGGTTGGTAACTGCCAAGATCATGCAGTAAGAAAGTGGAATAGAACCATGATTTGAACTCTCAAGCTGGTCCTGGGGGAGGGTGGGCTGAGCAGAAGGCCCCCTTTCCTCCATGTACAGTTCTTCCTGCTTCTCATGCCCCCTTGGCAAGCCCTCTATCTGGTCTGTCTCCTCTTTCAGGAAGCCCTCCCTGATTAGTGGTGATGGTGGTAAAAGTCCTGGGTCCTCAGGTTACTCTTCCTCCTGCCACCAGGGTGGGTAGAGGCAGTCTTTATCCTGTGCTGAGGACTCTGTTGTCCTTCAGAGATGAACGCAAGACTGTCTCAAGAGGTTTGGAGAGAGGATACATTATATTTTCTGTCTTCCTGTCTCAACATTTTCATACACGAGTCATCAGAATAAAACTGACATGGAAGAAATGGTTTACAGAGCACCTCCACATGCACACAGTCGTTTGAGACACACCATCACCCTGCAGGGTGGAAAGCATGGGTTATTAGTCCATTTTACAGATGAGAAAACAAGACTTCGAGAGATGAAGGGACTTGTTCAAGGTCACACGGTAGAGAGAAACAGAACTAGGTCTGGGCCTTTCCCTGTGAGTCCTAGAGCAGTAATTGCACTGTTTTCAAGGGCAGCCTTTAAGGGCACAGTTATTAAAGGGTAACACGTGCGGGGGGAGGAGGGGAGGCAGCAGAACCTTGGAGAGGCTGAAGGGGGGGGCTGCTTGGCAATAGGGCGTGGCTGCTTCGAGCAGCGCTGACGTTGGTACTCACTGATGGCCCCATCGCTGTTAAAAGATTGAAGTACTTCCATGCTGGTAAGCAAAGGGCTGCTGTCTGCTTCCTGCCTCCCTTCCCCAGGACTACCCTGCCCCCCAAGATCCAGCAGTTGGAGGGATAACATCCGGCACAGCCGGGGACCTCTAAGACCCACCCCCCTTCCCAATGCTCCACTCTGATGGTTGATGCCCATGCCATACTGGTTATGAAGCATTTTGACTATCTCCCCCCTTCAGGTATAAGAACCAGCAACTCTTGGGCACCTGGACCTTCCTAAAGTTTCTCAGAAACTGAGTATCGGGGGTAGTACAAGAGGCACGTTGGAGAAATGGTGAACAGGGATAGGAAAATGACATCAACGACATGAGCTTCTGTTTCCAATTCTGACCCTGGCTCTCAGTCACTCAGTCTCCTGAGTGAGAAAGCATTACAAGGATTCTTAGCAGGCTCGTAAGACTTGGTCTGTTGCCCAGAGCAAGTGATGATGGTGCCGGGGGACTGGAAACCAGGACATCAACCAGGGCCTGGGACCTCTCTCTGTCCCCAGACGGAATCTCCCAGCTGTGTGGAGTGTGGAAGGGGCCAGGGCAGCTGGCTTGTTCTGCTGAGATGCTGGGCCCTTTGGGATATCCAGGATAGGGATGGTATGTGGAAGAAAAGAACTGGAAAGGGGGTGGCGTGTCTGTAAGGAACATCCAGTACCAGCATCTCCACTAACCTTGCCCCTGGCCCTGCCACAGGAATAAGCAGGGGCCCCAGGCACCAGGGCCTGGGGTTGTTTGAAGGGTACCCAAACACCCCAAAGCCTCTCCAGCAACCCAGGGAGGGTTTTACCAGGGTAGATAAGAGGAGAGACATTTTGGGGGCAGGGTGGGAAAGGAAGAGGAAATTGGTGCTTGAGCCAGAATGTGACACCCCCACAAAGCCAGGAAAAGGAGGGGAGGGCTCCTTTACCACCACTCTTCTTCCTTTGCCCGGGTGCGGAACTGAAGCCTGGAGAGGAAATGCCTCCTGTCCGGCTGCCCTGGGGCGGCTCCCAGATTCACCCCCTCTCCTTCCTAAGTCCCCCAGATGCCGAGGCAGTTCCTCAGTCAGCATGGAGCCCCTGGGGACCATGGACAACGTCTCATGATGACAGTAACACGCATTTATGGAGCGCCCATTAGGTTTACAAACAATTCTCTTGTCTATCCTGCAGGGCAGTTCCCATTGTCACTGCAGTTCCCCAACGGGACAGGGCCTAGAGAAACCAAGTGCCTCCTGCGAGAACACTGATAACCGGAGCTGGGCTCCGCCTCAGAGGCTGGCTCCTCCCCTCCGCTCATTTCTTGGCCTTCGTCTCTTTCTGTTCCTGTCACTGGTGTCTTTTCCTCTTCTCATCCCCTAAATATGGGCATTTCCCAAGGTTCAGTCTCTCTT